ATAAATCCACGCCTCAGTTGGCCCCTGAAAAATATTCTTTAAAAAATCCACGCCTTTTGGCTGCCCTGAAAAATATTCTTTAATCCACGCCTTGTTGGCCCTTGAAAAATATTCTTTAATAAATCCACGCCTCAGTTGGCCCTTGAAAAATATTCTTTAATAAATCCACGCCTCAGTTGGCCCTTGAAAAATATTCTTTAATAAATCCACGCCTCAGTTGGCCCTTGAAAAATATTCTTTAATAAATCCACGCCTCAGTTGGCTCCTTGAAAAATATTCTTTAATAAATCCACGCCTCAGTGAAAAATATTTTTATAAAAATCTTACTATAGCTAAGTCTGGAAAAATGTATTTAAAAACCAGTGAGCGGTGCAGTACAGCCGGACGGGGATAGGGTATAGGGTATAGCCGGGATACCCTACACAACTTCCATGAAAATTCACTTTCTGCGGTTCTATATTCTGAGATTGGGCAATATTTCGCGATATTTGTACACTTTTGACTGGCTACAGGGTCAGAAAATGTTACTAATAATCAGTACAGCCCCTCTAATTACTTGTCCAGATTCCCATCACCGTAGGTTGTGTTGTGATATTCGGCTTTCGACTTAAAAAGTACAAATAATTAAGTTTTCGGTCCACTTCATCCGAAAAATTATTTTCTGATCATCACCTAACATTTTAGGCGTTGTCCTAGGCCATAACTGGAACCTCATGAAACATTTCAAAGCGATCAGGCTATATATCCGCCCTAAAGTGTGGTAATACGTTACTAAATAATATATGAATACGTAAGCACCTGTAAATATTTAAGTGTGACTCCCGCATCCGAGTACCTTCGACAATATGTTTTGTATCAATTTAAAGGTCAACCACTCCTCTTAGATATACTATCAACTTCTCGGGTCTATGTCCTTCAGGAGTAAATATATACGCCATAGAATACATTTTTTTTTAATTTTTCACACAGAAGTCAGGGTCTATTTGACCCTCTAAATATTGCCCGATCTTTATCAAAACAGGCATCCTTATTCTTTGGCGCAATCCCCTACTTCATGTAAAAATTCGAGATGTTTGGGCCATAATTGCGGCCTCTGGAGCGACCAGAAAAACCGACAAAAATTCAGTATTTGGTCCATTTCATCCCCTAAATATTAACCGATTTTTACCAAAAACAATAGGGGTCTTCATTGGGCAGAACCCATCCTACATGCAAAATTTCGTGAAGATTGATCCATAACTGTGGCCTGTATCGTGTTTACAAATTATAATGGACAGACGGACGGACGGTCGGACACACATGTCTAGATCGACTCAGCTGGTCGAGATATGAGGATCGGTATACTTAAAGGTGGGTCTAGGACCAATAATTCGCGGCGTTACAAACTCTTGAGGTTGCACAAAGCTATAATACATGGATATGTTTAGAATTTTTTTAAAATACTTTAAAAAAATTAAATTCTCTAAAATGATTTGAAGAAAATATTATTCAAGAACTCCAATTTATTTGATAAATAATTTATTTTCTTACACTTTGATGACGACAAATTGAGTGTAAATAATTTAGCCCAAGACCTAACAGTTATGAATTCATTTAATTGCATTTTAACAAACCATTCTCCATATCACCCTATGTTCGATCAGAAACGCCACCTGTAGATAGTGTTCCTAAACTACACTTAGCAATGACATCAGCAGTGACAATTTATAGACAAGACTATATTTAGCAAAGATCCTAACCATGTATACATTCAAATACAGGTGGAGCTGTTTTATTCCGTGAAGATCCCAGTGCAAACAAAAAAAATTAAATCCACGCCTTATATAGGCTATAGAAAAAATTATTTTAAAAATCCACGCCTTAAATAGGCTATGGAAAAAAATAGTTTAAAAATCCACGCCTTATATAGGCTATAGAAAAAATTATTTTAAAAATCCACGCCTTAAATAGGCTATGGAAAAAAATAGTTTAAAAATCCACGCCTTATATAGGCTATAGAAAAAAATATTTTAAAATTCCACGCCTTATATAGGCAATAGAAAAAATTATTTTAAAAATCCACGCCTTAAATAGGCTATGGAAAAAAATAGTTTAAAAATCCACGCCTTATATAGGCTATAGAAAAAAATATTTTAAAATTCCACGCCTTATATAGGCAATAGAAAAAATTATTTTAAAAATCCACGCCTTATATAGGCTATAGAAAAAATTATTTTAAAAATCCACGCCTTATATAGGCTATAGAAAAAATTATTTTAAAAATCCACGCCTTATATAGGCTGTAGAAAAAATTTGTTTTAAAAGCCCCGCCTATAATAGGTCCTAGAAAAAGTAATTTCAAAAATCCACGCCTATTGTAGGTCTTAAAAATAATTATTTGGAAATCGAGGCCATAGAAAAAAATATATTAAAAATCCGCGCCTTATTTTAAAAATCCACGGCTATGGTAGACCATAGATACAATTATTTTAAAGAATAGACTCTATAAATAATAGATTTTATTTTTTACTTGTTTATCATTTTATTATACCATTTTTTAATAAATTGCATCCTTTGTTTTGCTTAATAAAAAATTCACAACAATTCCATATTGTCTATGCCTGGTATGTCACCATTGTGGTTTCGGACATCTTGACTTTCAAATGATTGAATATCTTGTAATGTTTGTTATTTATTAAAATTGTTTTCCAGCTTTTTTTGTATTTCCTTGACAACTATTTACTTAATATTTTCTGAAAGATATTTATTTTTAAAAAGGGAAAACATTTTCATAAATTTCTGATGACCTAAAAATATGCAATATATCATTGGATATATTGTGACAATCATAGAATGGGGCTCACTCCCCGAAAAGTATGCAATAAATTTAAAGTTTATTTACTGCAGATCAATATTTATTGAAGCAAAATCTTTTGTTTTAAAACAACAACCCATTTTTTTTATATCCTAAAAGTAAACAATGGATTTTTTTTGTTTTGTATTATAACTTTCCCCCCCAGTAAACAAAAGTAAAAATTTATAACTATTTTTATTGCTAAAGAAAAGAGCTAACCATATTTTATAGAAAAAAACAACAAACTAGAACAAACATATATAACTTTTAGAGATAGTGAGGGCAGGGCAGCGCGCCTAAAATTTGGTCACATATTTTTGTCATAAATTTCGATATACCCTTTGGAAATTCGCACACAAAAAGGTATCCTCTAGCAGTAAATAAATACATTTGTGCGTAACATTGTTGGCTCTCTCTCTCCCCCCATTTTCCGACTCATGTTACCCTGACCAATGTGTGTACTAACTGACCACATTTTATGTTGTAAAAACCAATTCATATGCGAGTATGTACGAAATTTGTTTTTGTGTGTTATATGACCTCTTTGACCACAAAACAGACGACTAGTTTTCATAAAATTATTGAATTTTTGCAACCATTGGCCAGAGCTGTACTTGTGTGTGTGTGTTTCGATGTGCCTTTGGTTTTTGGTGTTCAATAACCGAAAACCTGGCAGGCAGTCAAGAGAAAATTGTTATCAAATATATATATAAAAGTTGATATATGGTTATGGTTATACACAAAGTGCCTAAAAGTATACTTTAAAAATGAAAAATTTGTATCTATAGAAATTATGTCATAAACATTATTTTTAATAATATTTTTAAAGGGTACACAAATATATACATACCAAGGATGCAGGGCCGGAAAATACAGTAGGGGCTGAAATGAGGAAAAGTAAAAAACAAATTGAAAAATTTACTCATTTACATTTTATCCGTGATGAAAACCGAAAATCAGTAATTTACTCCAAGTCCCGGTAGACAAGTTTTCATTTAATTGGTTTTGTTACACCTCATTCCCAATATCACCCTATGATTGCTCAGAAACGCCACCTGCTGGAATTGTGGCTAGACTATGTATTTAGCAACGACATCAACAATGCCAATTTAAGTTCAAAACTATATTAGCAAATATCCATACCAATCATATTATCAAATATAGATGGCGCCTTCTTGATACTTTGAAGATCACCATAATCGATGTTAGAAAAATAGATTTTAGAAAAAAAATATTTTAAACATCTACCCCTTTGATGGGTGTTAGAAAAAATTATTTTAAAAATCCACGCCTTATATACGCCTTGGAAAAAATTATTTTAAAAATCCACGCCTTATATAGGCCATAGAAAAAAATTATTTTAAAAATCCACGCCTTATATAGGCCATAGAAAAAAATTATTTTAAAAATCCACGCCTTATATAGGCCATAGAAAAAAATTATTTTAAAAATCCACGCCTTATATAGGCCATAGAAAAAAATTATTTTAAAAATCCACGCCTTATATAGGCCATAGAAAAAAATTATTTTAAAAATCCACGCCTTATATAGGCCATAGAAAAAAATTATTTTAAAAATCCACGCCTTATATAGGCCATAGAAAAAAATTATTTTAAAAATCCACGCCTTATATAGGCCATAGAAAAAAATTATTTTAAAAATCCACGCCTTATATACACGCCTTGGAAAAAATTATTTTAAAAATCCACGCCTTTGATAGATGTGAGCCATAGAAAAAAGTGTTTTAAAAAATCCACCCCTTGACTTTGTTTTTTATATCCGTTTTTTTCCTGTTGACAAAATCCTGCCCCAACTGTCTTTCATAATTTATGATATTAAGCAAATTTTAAATGACCACTGGTGACACCAATATCAACCACAAACATTGATTTATGCCAGCAATGGTGGCACACAGCCTGTTCATGATTCAACTGCTGCCACTGTTTGGGAAAATATCCTTTTTAACTGGCCGTTCATTATTGATTCCCTTCCTTCCCGCCACCAATCACCATTGTTACCACCCATATAAATTGACAACATAATTTCCTATCCATTATTCTGGAGGTCTTTATAAAATTTAATGTTTATTTTTTATCGACAATAACAACACCAACAACAAATTGATTAATTTTCCCAAATATTTGGTCCTTTCTTTTTTCGCACACAGGTGGTTTACAAATTGAAAATAGTCGTGAAGAGGATCAAGGCAAATATGAATGTGTGGCGGAAAATTCTGTGGGTACGGAACACTCAAAGGCCACAAATTTGTATGTAAAGGTACGCCGAGTCTCACCAACCTTTTCGCGGCCACCAGAGCCCATCAATGAGGTTATGTTGGGTTCCAACCTCAATTTATCCTGTATAGCTGTGGGTTCGCCCATGCCTCATGTGAAGTGGATGAAGGGTAAGTATTTCGTTGTTAATAATTCTCAATTCCTATCAAAAATTTTGGATTTTTTTGTGTAGGTGCCCAAGATTTGACACCCGAAGATAACATACCCATTGGCCGTAACATTTTGGAATTGACAAACATACAACAGAGTGCTAATTACACGTGCATTGCCTCATCGTCATTGGGTCAAATTGAAGCCGTAGCTGTGGTCAAAGTTCAATGTAGGTCAAACACACTCTGAACTAATGGAATTTGGAAAATGTTCAATTGTCTTTTGTTATTCTTCTTCTTTTTAGCATTACCCACTGCACCCACAGACATAACCATATCGGAAGTAACAGCCACCTCATTACGTCTCCAGTGGTCCTATAAAGGTCCAGAGGATTTAATGTATTATGTGATACAATATAAGCCGAAGAATGCTAATCAGGTAAGCAAATAACACCCTTAAAAATATATATATTAAAAATCCGCGCCTAAAAGTAGACCTTGAAAATTTAACTTAAAAATCCACGCCTAAAAGTAGGCCCTGAAAATTTAATTTTAAAAATACACGCCTCAACATAGGCCTTGAAAATTGAATTTTAAAAATACACGCCTCAACATAGGCCTTGAAAATTGAATTTAAAAATCCACGCCTATAAGTAGGCCTTGAAAAATAAATTTAAACAATCAACGCCTATAAGTAGGCCTTGGAAATAAGTTTAAAACATCGACACCTATAAGTAGGCCTTGGAAATAAGTTTAAAACATCCACGCCTTTAAGTAGGCCTTGAAAAATAATTTTAAAAAAATCCACGCCTATAAGTAGGCCTTGAAAATTGAATTTAAAAAATCCACGACTATAAGTAGGCCTTGAAAATTAAATTTAAAAAATCTACGCCTATAAATAGGCCTTGAAAAGTGAATTTAAAAAAAATCCACTCCTATACGTAGGCCTTGAAAATTGAATTTAAAAAACTCCACGCCTATAAGTAGGCCTTGAAAATTAAATTTAAAAAATCCACGCCTATAAGTAGGCCTTGAAAATTAAATTTAAAAAATCCACGCCTATAAATAGGCTTTGGAAATTTAATTTTAAAAATCCACGCCCTTGAATAGGACTTGAAAATGGAATTTTAAAAATCCAGACCTAAAAAAGACCTTGAAAATTGAATTTAAAAAATCCACGCCTATAAGTAGGCCTTGAAAATTGAAGTTACAAAAATCTACGCCTATAAGTAGGCATTGAAAAATAAGTTTAAAAAATCTACGCCTATAAGTAGGCATTGAAAAATAAGTTTAAAAAATCCACGCCTATAAGTAGACCTTGAAAAATAAGTTTAAAAAATCCACGCCTATAAGTAGGCCTTGAAAATTGAATTTCAAAATCCACGCCTATAAGTAGGCCTTGAAAATTGTATTTAAAAAATTCACGCCTATACGTAGGCCTTGAAAATTGAATTTTAAAAATCCTCGCCTATAATTATGCCTTGAAAATTGAATTAAAAAAATCCACACCTATAAGTAGACCCTGAAAATTTAATTTTACAAATCCACGCCTAAAAGTAGGCCTTGAAAATTGAATTTTAAAAACCCACGCCTAAAAGTAGGCCTTAAAAATATGTTTATTAACTATTTTGGATTTTTTTTTTATTTTTTCCAGGCCTTCAGCGAAATCAGCGGCATTATCACCATGTATTATACGGTACGAGCCTTGAGTCCCTACACAGAATATGAATTCTATGTGATAGCTGTAAATAATATTGGTAGAGGACCGCCATCGATACCAGCGACTTGTACCACTGGTGAGACCGGTAAGTCAATCGAAATCGAATCTCAGGGAGTAAAAAAAGAAAAACTGCAATTTTTTTCTTGAGCAAAAATCTGTACTCAGCCTCGAAGGGCTACTTTCCTGAAGAAAGACATTCAACACAGAATTTTTTCGTGGGGAAAAAATTATCCCATAGAAACTGATGATTTTTGTTTCAGCCAGTTTCTGAGGAATTTTCTTCGATAGAAGAAACTGTCCTAATTTACTGGCAATATTTTTTCCCCGAGGAAAAAGCTCTCCTGAACAACTGAGGATTTTTTCTTTAGGAAAAGCATCTGTCCTTCTTCATCAGAAGGTTATCCTCTGCTGAGTTTATCATCCGGCTCCTTAAAATAATATTTTATACCCTTTAATAAAAATTTTAAAAGATTTACAGCCACATCTTTTTCGTATTAAATATTTATGAATATCTCATTTTTTTCTTCTCTCTCTTTTCTCTTATCATGCTGCTGCCGCCGACGAAAAATTAAAACATAAAAAGGATTTTATTCCATATTTTCAGTTGTGTTTTATTATATTCTTTTTTTTTCTTTTCTTGTGTGGTTTTATTTTGTCATAAAATTTATGACCATTATTATCATTTAAGTTTCATTATGAGTTCGTTTTTTTTCGTTTCCTTCAAACCTCTTGAAACAATCCACTCAAAAAAATCGTATATTTTTCTTCTACTTATGCTTTCCAAAAACCGCTGGGGAAAAAACGCGAACATATTTTATGGCCATCGAAAAAATTGTATAATTTTACATTGCCATATATTTAGGTGATTTTACATATGGTGGAGCAAGTAAGTATCCTTTTTTTGTAACATTTCTCATTTTTCTCAAACACACATATGAAACTACCAAAGGAGTCTCTCACATATGTCGGAAAATAATATTAATAAAAACTGCCATCCATAAGAGTGGAGGCATATAAAAAAGTTTGAATTTTTTTATTAGAGCATTTTCTTTTTCTCCAACTCATCCTCCACATCCATAGTTAATCCATTTCTGTTTTCAATGCCTTTTTATTTAACTACCTGTCATTAAGTTAAAACACTCTAAAAGCTTTTCTCGTTTTTTGTGACTGCTTCTCCTCCACTCTCTGCCCTCTTCTTCTCTTACTGGTTACCTCTTTGCCGAACAATTGTCTTTAGTTTATATTTCTTAAAAGTCTTTGGTTGTGTGAGCCTTTTCCTGTGATGTCATAAAAATGAAACTATATATATATGGACACAGTTATATGCTGCTTTCATATCACCAATGATTTTGAATAGGAAACGAAGAAGTAGTTTGGAGGAAAAGAACAAAAAAAACTGTGGGCAATAAATGCAGGAAGTTATTGCAATTTAAATGGCCATGAAACTACTAACAACAGAGAACAATGATAAAGGAATATTTATTTGAGGAAAAGGGGTTATATTGATTCGATATAAAATAAAATATTTGAAATAAAAATATATATTCTGAATTTAATTACAATTTGTTTACGTTTTCATTATCAAAAAAATAAATTTAATTGCTTCGGCACATCTTCCTCCAATATTGCCCTACGTTTACTCAGCAACTCCACCTATTGGGTAGTGGCTAGATTACGTTTAGCAAAGACATTAGCGGAGCCAATTAGTGGTCTCCACTATAGCAAATATGCTTACCAAGTCGAATACTAAATATAGGTGGCGCTCCTTTAATAAGAGAAAGATTACAGTGATGTGCTACACTACCGAAATGATCCTAAAAACGATTTTTTTGAAAGTCAGCTGTTTCAGAAAAGATTTTTTTAAATACCATAAAAAAATATTTTAAAAAGTCTACACCTATTTTAGGCATTAGAAAAAAAATACTTTAAAAGTCTACACCTATTTTAGGCTTTTGAAAAAAATATGTTAAAAGTCTACGCCCAATATAGGCCTTGGAGAAATTTATTTTAAAAAATCACCCCCAGGAGTAGGTCTTAAATTATTTAAAAAAAATCCACGCCTTATATACACCTTGGAAAAATTTATTTTAAAAATCCAAGCCTTGCCTAGGGCTTGGAAAAATGTATTTTAAAAATCCAAGCCTTGCCTAGGCCTTGGAAAAATGTATTTTAAAAATCCAAGCCTTGCCTAGGGCCTTGGAAAAATTTATTTTAAAAATCCACGCCTTATATACACCTTGGAAAATTTATTTTAAAAATCCAAGCCTTGCCTAGGCCTTGGAAAAATGTATTTTAAAAATCCAAGCCTTGCCTAGGCCTTGGAAAATTGTATTTTAAAAATTCAAGCCTTGCCTAGGCCTTGGAAAAAATTATTTTAAAAATCCAAGCCTTGCCTAGGGCCTTGGAAAAATGTATTTTAAAACTTCAAGCCTTGCCTAGGCCTTGGAAAAATGTATTTTAAAAATCCAAGCCTTGCCTAGGCCTTGGAAAAATGTATTTTAAAAATCCAAGCCTTGCCTAGGCCTTGGAAAATGTATTTTAAAAATTCACCCCTAGAGTAGGCCTTGGAGAAATTTATTTTAAAAATTCACACCTAGAGTAGGCCTTAAAAAATTATTTAAAAAAATCCACGCCTTATATACACCTTGGAAAATTTTATTTAAAAAATCCACGCCGTGTCTAGTCCTTGGAAAAAAATATTTTGAAAATCCACGCCTTGCCTAGCCCTTGGAAAAAAATATTTTGAAAATCCACGCCTTGCCTAGCCCTTGGAAAAAAATATTTTGAAAATCCACGCCTATTTCAGGTCTTTAGAGAAATTATTTTAAAAGTCCACGACCGTTTTAGGCCTTGGAAAAAATTACTTGAGACTTATAAAAAAATATTTTAAAAATCCACTCCAGTGTTGGGTGTTTCCTAGTCCTATTTAACTATTTAAAGAAATCCAAGTCAATTATATGCCTTGAAAAAACTCGTTTAGAAATTAAATACGAGAAAGAGTGTAGATTATATAAATTGAATAATCGTTGATTGTGGGTAATCAATGAAGCGCAGATTTAAAAAAAAAATTTTGAGTAACTAAACAAAACCAAAAATATGCTATATTCAGAATGTAAGCAAAATTTGTTACATTTCGGTGATCAGAAATGCTTTGAACACTTGTAATTGATTCTGAACACCATCCCCCATTCACCCTATGTTTGCGTAGTACACATAGCCACCTAATGGTATAGTGACTAGACTAGCAAAGGCAATGTATAGGCAAGAGGATATTTAGCGAAGACCATAACCGAATACTACATTATATGTAGGTGGTGCTACTGTATTCTGCACAGATCACAGTCAAATCTATGTAAACCACCAAAACAGATTGTCAATAATTTTTGAGTACATAAGAGAGCGTAGAATTTAAAAAAATCGATTTTTTGTAGATATTTTTTTCAAGCTAACAATAAAGCGTAGATTAAAAAAAGATTTCGTAAAAATTATATTTCTGAGTACCAAACAAATCGAACATCCTTTAAGGCCCTGTCACATATTCTCCCCTTCCTCACTTCGCCCTACTATCATTTCCAATCTCTTATAAATGCTCTTATAAACACTTTAGGTTGATATACATTTTACGGTTGATATAAATACGTTGCATGCGTTCGACTACAATTTCATGTATGCTGCATGCATTCATTCGGATTGCTCATTTTCGTCATCATTTCCAACTTCTTTTACTTCCGGATTGCTGGCCACTTGTGCGAAACTGCAACCATTTACACTCAAATGATTGTAAAATGTTTTGCAGTAACGAGTCTCAATAAACCGGTATATTATGACCCAAAGGAAGATTATTGTATTAACATTTTTGCAGCTGTTGATACTTTTCGTATGTCTGAGAGTGTATGTGTGTGTAAAAGTGATATTGTTTTTATTTAGTATTATTGTTTTTATCGAAATGGACTTTCATTATGTAAAGTGCAATTTTCATAATATGCCATAAGGTTGCAGAGAGAGATGGGGAAAAACAATAAATTTTATATTTCATTTATTTTCGAATTTTGAGGAGCAGAAGTTGTACCAAGGACTTTTTTGAGGGAAGGAATCTGGGAAATATTGGTACTTTTAATAATAATTTGCTATCCAAAAATCCACGCTCTAATGGGTACTCGAGAAAAACGTTCTTAAAAAATCGACATTCTTTTGGATGATTAAAAAATATTCGTAAAGAAATTCACGCTTTGTCGGGAACTCGGATAGTATTGTTTAAAAAATTAACTCTATTTTAGGTACAATAAAAAGATATTCTTTCAAAGTCTTTCATTCTATGTTCCCCAAAGTCTTAAAAAATCAACTGCAATTGAGGGGTAATAAGTATTAAAGAAATTAGGCCTCATTGGATTCTCACAAATGTATCCTTAAAAAAATCCATGCCTTGTCTAATTAGGTTTACAACTCATTCCCTATTTCACCCTATGTTTGCTCAGCGACGCCATGTACTGTGTTTTAGCAAAGACACCAGCCGTTATAATCGAGACGCTACTAAGCAAGTCACAAGGTGGCGCTGTTTTATTTCAAAAATATCAGAACACGCTGGGTCGAAAGCTTCAAAACATATTATATAAGGTACTCCGGGATGTACTCAAAAAAGTTTATTGAGGACTAAAAAAGTAATTAAAAAAAAAGTTTTAAAAAATTCACGCTAAGTTAGTTATTAAAAAAATATCCTTAACAAAATCCAAGCTCTGCTGGATACGCTCTAATGAAATCTTTAAAGAAAAATCTTTTAGGACCTGTACTGGGTATCAAAAATATCCCGAAAGTCATCAAAACACTTCATTTGTTTAATACATTTCACAACTCATTCCCAAAATCACCCTATTTCACAACTCATTCCCAAAATCACCCTATGTTTGCTTAGCGACGTCACCTACTCACATAGCGGCAACACTTTGTTTAGCAAAGATATCGGCAATGATAATTTGTAGTCCGGACTGTAATTAGCAAAAGTCCGAACCCAAAAATCTAATGTAGATGGCTTTCGTTCCCAAAATCACCCTATGTTTGCTTAGCGACGCCACCTACTGACATAGCGGCAACACTTTGTTTAGCAAAGTTATCGGCAATGATAATTTATAGTCCGGACTGTAATTAGCAAAAGTCCGAACCCAAAAATCGAATTTAGATGGCGTTCTTTTATTGTGGGATGATCATTGCGGCAACACTTTGTTTAGCAAAGACATCAGTAATGATAATTTATAGTCTGGACTTTACTTAGCAAAAGTCCGAACCCCAAAATCGAATTTAGATGGCGTTCTTTTATTGTGGGAAGATCATAACTCCAAAAAATATGCTTTAACAAATATAAAATTTAGTTGCGTGAAAACAAGAAAAAACGTTTCAAAATATATTGAACCCTTAGAAAAATTCCATTAAAAATTAGTTTTTTTTTTTTTAATAATGCCATCAAAATATTGTCTATTATCGCTTCGAAAATAATTTTCCACAACATTTACCTAATTAAAAAAATTTTGTTTGGTTTGGTATTTTCTATTGCCTACATTATGGCAGAAAGATCATAGGTTGTGGTTCACTAGTGATTGTTACATCTTCTTCTGGCTCTGAATGTAACCACATTGGCAGTGGTATGAGTGCCCTGAAAAACCTATTTTCCTCATTTAAGTACGTTCATGAATGTTTATGAAAAAATACTTATTTTCTTACTTTCAGTTATTGCTTTTAATTAAGTCAGCTTAAAACAATTTGCGCGGTGTTCGCTTTGTCGGCAGCACTCTAGAGCTATTACAGTTTCTTTTGTTTTTCTGTGGTCGTAGTTGGTTCGGAAAGTAAATACAATTGTTGAAAATTATTTGGTATTGTTATGTGTTGTTTATTTTT